GTTAGCTCCAGAGTTAATGCGTATGATGTTAGCTCCAGAGTTAATGCATATGATGTTAGCTCCAGAGTTAATGCGTATGATGTTAGCTCCAGAGTTAATGCGTATGATGTTAGCTCCAGAGTTAATGCGTATGATGTTAGCTCCAGAGTTAATGCATATGATGTTAGCTCCAGAGTTAATGCATATGATGTTAGCTCCAGAGTTAATGCATATGATGTTAGCTCCAGAGTTAATTGCATTAATATACTGTATATGATGTTCCCACCTGCCTGAACACCGCCACTATCAGGAATTAACAAATAAGAATCAATCTACAGAAGACACTGTCTCCTCTGTGGTCCACACCGCTCTCACCCACCTAGAGCAGAAGGACACCTACGTCTGTATGTTCTTTGTGGACTTCACATCCGCTTTCCAACACCATGATCCCCCAGACCCTGATGAACTACTCACACTAGGACTAAGCCCCTCCATCTGCAACTGGGTCCTGGATTTCATAACCAACAGACCACAGTCTGTTAGGATCCACAACTTTTCCTCCTCTTCCATAATCCTCAGCATTGGCTCCCCCAGGGCTGTGTACTGAGCCCCCTCCTTTTCACTCTGCTCATGTGCTTCTAGCCTTCTACCCATCCAGGTTGTCACATTGTAAAGTTTCCAGATGATACAGCGGTGGTTGGATGCATCACAAACAACGATGAGTCCAGCTACAGGCATGAGGTGGAACACCTGGAGAGCTGGTGCAGGAAGAGCAACCTTCACATCAGTGTGAAGAAGATGAAGGAGATGGTTGTGGATTTCAGAAGGAGCAAACACACCTCCCCCCTCCCCCCTCCCCCCCTGAACATAGGAGGATCTGGGGTGGAAGTGGTCTCCAGTTACAAGTATGGTACTTGGGTGTGTACCTGAATGACAACCTCAGCTGGGGGCAACAACACCACCAGCCTGATCAAGAAAGCTCATCAGAGACTCTACTTCCTCAGGCAGCTGAAGCGAGCTGGTCTGGGAAGCTCAGTCCTCACCTCATCTACAGGTGTGCAGTGGAGAGCATCCTGTGCTCCAGCATCAACGTGTGGCATCAGCCTCCCCAACATCACAGAGATTTACCTCCAAATGCAGTAAGAGGGCCGCCAGCCCTCATATGTAGTCCTCATTCATATCCATCTGCTCACAAGAGGCTCATGTTCAGGCTGCTGTTTAATACACCTTATTGTATTACATTATTATTGTTCAGCGTGTATCTTATATTCTTGTATACTGTTTCTTTTTTTATACTTTATATTTGTGCTGTTTTGGGGTGTAACTGGGACTGTGAGTACAAAATTTCATTCCACCTCATGTACCTCATGTGATGCGAATGACAATTAACAACCTTGAACCTTGTTTGTTCCAGAGCTAATATATACGATGTTAACTCTGGAGTTAATATATAGCATTAGCTCAGGAATTAATATATATGACGTTAACTTCAAAGTTTACATATGACATTTAAAGTGAATAAATAAAGCTGGTATGGTGTGGTATGAGCTTTGAAACTAAAATATATGACATTACCTCCGGTGTTAATATTTATGCTAATGATTGCATTTGTACTGGAGCTAAGAAATCACATTAGTTCTAGAACTAATAGCATTAGCTCCAGAGTTAGCAAATGGCATTAGCTTCAAATTAAACATCACAAGTCGATCACGTTTGATCCTTTCAACCCATATTTTGTGCATAAGGACAATACATATATATATATATATATATATATATATATATATATATATATATATAACTTTATTGTCATGTTATAACTTTTTTATCCTTGACTCTTTGTGTTTTAGCCTCCACTACAACCAATGTTCCTCATCACCCCAGAATGCATTGCAGTTATAAAGTAATGGTGACGTCCCTAGCTGAAAATTGTAATAAGCATAAATAATATTTTTTTAAGTAATGGTAGCTTTCTTGTGCTACAAACAATAACTTTTAGTAGAATAGAGAAATAATAACATATTAAGGCCAATATGTGCAAGTAGTTGGAGATTCCATTAACAAAAAAGTTGCCACATGTTGGAAAATATTTGTGTTTTTACAAATACAGTAATTAAACCTATAATTATGTGTCAAATTTGGATAAATAAGTATACTAGTTATGTTTATTTAAACTATCCTTTCATTGTCACATGCAGTGACTTGTCCATCAGCTGGGGTGGTCAATCAGTTTTCACCCAGGCTAAAACCTTGGCAGAACACTAGATGGATATCTACCTGGTTAATTACCAGGTTATATCAAGTAACTACCATGGTTCATTTCTGATGCACGCCACTTTCACTCCTGTCTGTTTGCTTTCAGGTTCCTACAGTCATGGAAATTGTCACACATTTAATTAACAACACCATAGAGTTCTACAAATGGACCCTAACTATTGCAGGTAATCAGCTTGTTGCGCCTGAATGTATGTAAAGGTTAATGTCAATACATCATCTGGTCACATGACAAGTCACTCTCAGAGTATGTGCTATGAACGACTCTCAGCTACTACCTTACAGTATTATAACTCAGTATCTGCAAAACTGTAGCTGTTGTTTTTAAGGTTAGTTGTCTATAGCCGCCATGTTGAATTTGGTTGACTTCCAAAGTTTATTCAGATTTACATTCAGTAGTTAATATCTGCTAGTTAAATTAAAATGTGTACAGTAGGTAATGAAATATTATGGTAACAGATACTGTATAGGCAAAAACACCACCTCCTTCACCTTTAGGTGGCAATATGGAATGAATCTCAGCAGTGCAGTTGTAATATATATTTTTTTCATCATGAGACATGAACTGTGCTATACTTTATCTTTACAATGGTTTAAAAGATTCTGCTTATTTGTTTGTTTTATTGCTATGTCCCACTTTATATTAGTAATACTATCTATATACTGTAACTATATTTATATGCCAAAAATAAGACATACTAATATTCTTTCAGAACACACCTTGATTCCACAAATGTGATGTTCTTATAGGATTTATAGATGTGACATCAACCAAGGTCATGTCAGTTTCATTCACCAACTTCAGTCTCTACAACACCAACCATAACGCTGACTGAATGAGCGTTAGCTCTTACATCACTATTTACGGCTGGGTGGTCTTTAGAATATACTGTCATTAAAATAATTACATTTAGTATTATTTGATTATTAATTTCTTAATTATTAAAATTAATTAAATATAATTAAATTATTTTATATCCTGTACATAATTTATGTTCTAATTGCTCAAAAACAATAAAATTATCTGGCTAAGGGTCACCAGTATTTTAGGAGTGACCCTTGCCCGCCCCCCATGTATAAGACATACCAATACTCTCAATTAGTTAATGAAAGTTTCATTCAAATGCATCCAAAGGTTTATGAGACATTTTGTTAACAGACAGACAAACTTACACACAATCACCTTCAGAGAGCTCAGATTTAATTGAACTCATCCTGACCTCACACTAATGAGAGCATGAAGACTTCTTTACGAGTGAACGTCTGTCCCACAGACAAGCGAGTGGAGAAATGGCCTCTGATGAGCAACCCCCTCCCCACGCTGGCCATCAGCACCTCCTACCTGCTTTTCCTTTGGCTGGGGCCCAAATACATGAAGAACCGAGAGCCCTTCCAGCTACGCAAAACCCTCATTGTCTACAACTTCAGCATGGTTTTCCTCAACGTCTTCATCTTTAAAGAGGTTTGTACTCAGCTGTTTTTCTGTGATTCTGTGCTCATCCAATCCATATTCCCACTGAAATGACCACTAACAGTGCTAGGCAAGATTTGTGGCTGCCATCTTGCTAGGTGCTATATGTATTACTATATGTACTTTGTATATTATTAACGCCTTGTGCTTGGCTGTAGGCTACTGTCTGTTTTAAAATGCAAAGAGATAAACTTATTTGACTTAAATAAACATGTAAACATGTGTATTGCAAAAACAGGAGAAAATACATTTCTTTAATGAGCTTCCAACAAGCCTGGTCAAGCATCATCGGGGGTAAAAGTAGAAAAGCAAAAGTGAAAATTGAATCGTTACCACCACTGTGATAAATTTATCAAGTGGTGTTATCATTCTAACCAGATCAGTACACAACTGCACTTTATCAAGTATTTCACTTTAGTTTAACCTGAGCTCTGTTACCACTGTCTATAGTTAATTTTACTCAGACTAATAACTTAATCTTATTTGATACAGTCTTTTTAGTCATGATTCTGGAAATATTCAACGTTACATACCAGTGTTTAGGTATGGATAACTGAATTTTTGTCTGGATTAACTTTTTAACACATATACTGTAATTTATCCATAAAATTTGTAATACACGATTGTAGACTAATGGCTGTTATTTTAGTCAAAATGTATAATTATTATTGATAATGTTTGCAGTTAGCTGGTATATAGCTACTTTTAGTGGCCTGTTTCACAGTACTTTTAGTTGTCTAATCTAGACCACTTGTATAATAAAACAGTGCATTAGACTAGTATTTTCACTGGATAAAAAAGAGAAATATAAAACTAACTTCTTTGAAGTTCAGGCCTCAAATAAAACATTAATGGCAAAATATTGGTCTCCTTGTATGAATTTAGTTTCTTCCTCAGAAACTGATGGTCTAGTGCCATGCTGGCAGCAACTAGCAGAACCTCCATTATTATCAAAATTTAAAATGACATTAAAAACTTTGGATTAACAGAAAGGATAATTACAATTTAAAATAGGCAGCACGGTGGCGCAACTGGTAGAGCTGCTGCCTCTCAGCGAGCAGGTCCCTGGTTCAAACCCCGGTCCAGGGGCCTTTCTGGGTGGAGTTTGCATGTTCTCTCCGTGCATGCGTGGGTTTTCTCCGAGTACTCCGGTTTCCTCCCACAGTCCAAAAACATGCATGTTAGGCTGATTGGTAACTCTAAATTGTCCCTAGGTGTGAGTGAGAGAGTGAATGTTTGTTTGTCTCGTTTGTCTCTATGTGGCCCTGTGATGGACTTGCGACCCGTCCAGGGTGTACCCCGCCCCTCGCACAGTGATTGCTGGACATGGGCACCAGCGACCCCCGTGACCCAAAATGGAATAAGCGGGCAAAGAAAATGGATGGATGGATGGACAATTTAAAATAGTTCATAAAGGAGAAAGAAATTAAAGAAGTTGAGAATCTCATTGATAAAAACACACCAAAAAAAAAAAACAATTCACTTTTAAATATTGTTAAAACTCTCAGTCTCCAAACTCTTGTTTTTGCAAACTGTGCTCCCTCCTCATCAAAAGACCCTAATAACCATAAGTAAACTATGTGAAACTCATATGGGGAACAAACCGTGAAGTCACAAAAAGATGCATAATGTATACAAATAAAAAAGATGGAGGACTTGGAGGACTTGGAGCATTCAACTGCAAACACCTTTTATTACAAATGTGTCAAGTGCTTTAAGTCGAAACACCTTATGGTTTGGAGACAAATAGGCCTATATTTGTAAATTGAAAGGCAGAGCGAGGTCTTCTTCTTTACACAAACACCAAACAAAAAAATCAGTACAATGTATAAAATCCTTAAAGAAAACGTAAATGGAGATTTTTATTTTAAATATAAATTTGCAACCCCTGTAGATCATCCCAAAATTGTAAGGAACGTAAATGATAAAATAATCTCTGAAGACTCTTGAGACACTGTGGGGCTGATTTCTGTGTACGGACTCCATGTCAGAGCGGTAGTTCAATGGCGCTGTTTTGTCAAAACTAAGAAAGGTCCAACAAGCCTCTGCGATAAAAATGAAACTCTTCAGCATCTTCTGCTCCGCTATTACAGGACTGTGGAGAAGAGACGAAATGGAGACAACAGGTTTTAATGTTGAAATAAATACAACATTTGTATTTTTGAACTGTTTAACTGTAAGTACAGTTTATTTATACAGCACCTTTCATAGATATAGTAACATCACAAGATGCTTCACACTAGAAGTATTAAAATATTAAGAACATACACAAAAACATATAAACGTCCATACATATAAAAACATTTAAAAAACAGTTAATATACAAGATACACGCAATATTCAAGATCTAGCTTAACACTTGTTTATAAAAAATGTCTTTACATGTTTTTTTAATGCATTGATTGAATCCAGACAAAATACAGTATTCCAAAGTTGGGGTGCAACTGCTTGGAACGATCGATCCCCACAAAATTTGGTTGTTGGTGATACCAGCACCCATTTCAGTTTGTTCAGGATTTTAGTTTATGAAACTCACTTTCTGTGAATGAGCAGTGAAGCTGGATGTCATCAGCATGAAGTGATGTTGCACATTTTTCAACTGTTGAATTACCTGTCCAAGAGGGAAGACATAAAGAAGAAATAAAATGGGTCCCAAAGTAGAACCCTGAGGTACACCACAAGATAGCCTGGTACTGTTCGACATGATCCCATTTACAGAGACATTAAAACTTTGGTCAGATAGGTACAGTGAGAACCATTTGAAGACAGAATCAGATAACCCAAAATGATTCTGAAGTCTGTTGATTAAGATCTTCTGATCAACAGTCTCAAAGGCAGAACATAGATCCAGTAAGTGCTGTTAAGTGAATGTTAAATTCCCCAAGAATTAATACTCTCCAGTTTGATGATGGAAGATAAAGCATCAGTAAAATCAATGAGAAACACACTTGCAAGGCCAGGCGGATGGTAAATTAATGCACACTGAAACATTAGTAGAACCAGTCTTTAACACCAGTGACTCAAAGGAGGAGAAGCTTTCAGTGATACTTCTGGATGAATATTTATCTCTATGTACAGCAGCAAGTCTTTCACCGCAGTGGGCCCGGTGGGGCGCACCAATAACAGAACAGCCATTAGGTCGGAGTTTATTTAGATAGATAAACTTCTGTTCTCTATGCATGTTTCCATGAGAAGCATAAAATCCATTTTTGTCCATTGAAGAATTCATGAAGAAAGAAGGATTTATTTGAGATGGGGCGAGCACTGAGCAAGCCAAACCAGATCGGTGGCAGCAGGTTAGCGTCCTGGAGAGCTGGTTGTAGTGGAAAACACCAAACACTGGCCGTGGTTATGTGGTATCCAGCTGCATGGAAAGGGATCTCGTCTGCGGAATGTGAGGATCTGTGATCAAAAGCGTTGTGACTGGGTCACCAGTGGTGCAAAACAGCAATGGGGAAACAGGTACTTTAATGGTCAAATTAGCTGCATTTCAAAGGGGCGGTGCAGCTGGCTTGACTTGCTCCAAGCAGCAACCAGAAGGAAGGTGGGAGTATTATGGCAAGCCGATTGTGTCATTATTAGCTGGTGACGATTTTCAGTCATGCAGGCCACGGTAAATTCAAAAAAAGTTCCAGATAAAAACAATAAAGTATAATAAATAAAGTCCAGTTGTTTTTGTCTTGAACTTTTTTGAATTTGTCATTATAGCCAGCCACGTTTACCTATTACATGATGCAACGGCAAGCCTTACTGCTACTACTACTCTGCTACCATCTAGTGGCTGAGAATGGTACTGTTCAATTTTTTTTCAGTCAGACTGAATGAAAACGGTCATAGCTCAGCCAAAAATTGGTTTATAAATATAGGAAAAAAATCCATAAATATTTCGCTTCGGCCTATAATTCGCATGGCATGCAACTTATACAAAAAAACCCCGACTTTTAGGCTGAAAAATACAATAGTTTTTTTTTTATGGCTAATTGGGGATATTGTTTGTGTGTGTGTGAGTATTTAAATGAATTGTTCTAAATTTACATGTATATGAATTGTAATGTAATTTGTATAAATGTGTGTGATCTTCAAATAAAATATTCTTAAAAAAAAAAAATGAATTATGGATGTACTGTACGTAGCACCTACCAAAATGTCTGCACAGTCTCACTACTTTAGCATTGACCACACTGTGGTTGACCACTGGACTGTTTTTGTATTTCAGTGCAGATTTTAACATGAGTTACATGAAAGTTACTCACTCCAGGTTTATTGCTCATCCTTGTCTGTGTTTTTTAGTCCGTTTCAGCAGTTTCTTGTTTTTCAGCTGTTCATGGCAGCGCGAGCAGCAAGATACAGCTACATTTGTCAATCTGTGGACTATTCAGATGACCCCAATGAAGTCAGGGTGAGCATTATTGTCAAACACAAACACACTTCCTTACAGAACTCATTCATGTAAGCCATCTCATATCTCATATGATCTCTCCTCGAGTTTACGCTGAAGAATTCAAACATCTCTGCTGACTTTTACACATAGGTCTTCAACCATAAATCATGTGGAAAGTTTCTGTCAGCCCATCACTGAAGCATCACCCTCGTTTGAGTAAAGAGGATCTGCTTCCATTTATGTGGTTATCAGAAAAAGTGTGAGCTGTTCGTCAGATCGGTGCTCAATTTCACCTCCCTCTTTTGTTTCTCCATGACGTGGAGATGAACTCGACACTTCAACCAGCAGCACACCATTCTCAAATGACCGACGCTAAGCTGTTAAAGACGAGAGAAGTTCCTAATTGTATTTAAGGATAGAAATCTGAGACCAGCGTGTTCATTTCTTTCTCCTTCTTTTTTAATGTGCACTTTCTCTTCACCTATGTTTACCTGCACCTCCTTGTTTTCCCCTTTGTGTCATTTTAAAACCAAAGATGGCAGGAGCTCTGTGGTGGTATTTCATCTCCAAGGGCATTGAATACCTGGACACAGTGTTTTTCATCCTGAGGAAAAAGTTCAACCAGGTGACCTTCCTGCACGTCTACCACCACTGCACCATGTTCACCCTCTGGTGGATCGGCATCAAGTGGGTGGCAGGAGGACAGTGTGAGTCCCTCGCTTCTTAATAAATCTTCGTATCATGGCTAACGGGCACTCTGTCAGTAGTTTAATCTTTTTGGTGAAATCGCAAACATGAAGTACAGTTTTAGACTGTCAGGATTTTATTCATCAGGAATTTGAGGAACAAATTCAGTCAGTTCAGTTGTCTGAAGTGTTTTTTTGTGAAAAAGGTTATAAACAATTTATTTCTTACCTGTTGTAGATAGCTCTTTGTACAAAGTACAACTTCACTTTGTAGAAATACTTTAGTTGTTCCCCGTCAAGGAGTGATGAGGAGTTGGATATACCCTCCATCCATCTGCCTGTCTGTGCATGTTGAACACTATAGCTTGAAAAATGGGTGAGGTACTGACTTCAGTTTTGGTGTGTGGCTGGATCTAGGCATAAGAAAAACTCCTTATAAAAACTGGGTTGCCGCATCAAAATCCAAGATGGATACCACCATATATATATGTCACCTTGTGAGCTGGATAATTCAGTTTCAATTCACTTCAGTTTATTTACAGTATATAGCGCCAAGTCACAACTGAAGTCGTCTTAGGGTACTGAACAGAAACATTCAAATAAATAAAAAAGCTAATTGGTAAAAGTTATCTTTCTAAGGAAGTCAACAGATTGTGCTGAATCTTCACTTTGTCATAACTTCGTCATAACTTTGTCACAACTTCGTACAGTTTGTATGCTTGTGAAAATGTTGAAAATTGTGAACCACCCCTTTCACACTTAAACAGAGATTATATTAAAATTAAATTAGCATGTTTTGCAGCATGCTTGTAGATATTCTGACTCCAAGCAGGGCCACCTCATCTTCATATTGATCTAACAGTATCTGCCATGCTATTTTCACTATTACAAATTAATAAAGAGGCTTTTATTCTATGCATATACATTTTTTTAAAACCATGTTTGAAAATAAATGTTATTTTAACTGTTACCATATTTAAGGCCTATAATTCCTTTTCCATCAATCAAACCATCCATCCATCTGATCTTCTGCTTGTTCTGAAGTGGTGTCGCGGGGGCAGCAGCTTGAGCAGGGAGGCCCAGACATCTCTTTCCACAGCCACTTCTTCTAGCTCTTCTGGGAGGACTCCAAGGCATTACGAGACATAGTCTTTCTAGCATTTCCTGGGTCTTCCCCAGGGTCTTCTCCCAGTTGGACATGCCCAAAGCACCTCCCTAGGGAGGCGCCCAGGTAGCATCCTTACCAGGTGCCCAAACCACCTCAACTTACTCCTCTCAATGTGGAGGAGCAGCAGTTCTACTCTCTCTCTCCTGATAACTGAACTTCTCACACTATCTCTAAGGGAGAGTCTAACTACCCTGCAGAGGAAACTCATTTCAACCACCTGTATCCACGATCTCATTCATTCGGTCACTACCCAGATTTTGTGGCCATTGGTGAGGGTAGGAACGTAGACTGACCAGTAAACAAAAAGCGTCACATCACAGCTCAGCTCCCTCTTCACCACAACGGAACAGCAGAGTCTGCAATACTGCAAACGCTGCACCAATTCATTCGTCAATCTCCATCCTTTCATCACTCGTGAAGAAACCCCAAGATCCTTTAACTCCTCCACTTGAGGCAGAATCTCACCCTTGATCCAAGGAGAGCAATCCGCCCTTTTCCGACTGAGGACCATGGCCTCAGATTTGGAGGTGCTTATTCTCATCCCAGCTGCTTCACACTCTAGAACACTATAAATCCTTAAAGGAGTGCATATTGTCAGACACCTTTCGTGAGTTTTAGGCAAAGTTCGATTTATGTTGAGAAATGATGGATGCTGAGGTATAGGCGTCTTTCTGCTGGCTAATGTCAGTTAGCACTGGTGGCCATCTTGAATTGGTGTTAATCAGTTGTAGACCTACATCCAATGGCTATGTTTTTAGTTTTTTCTTTTAAGAATTTTTTTGGTGGTTCTGGTTCAGTGGTTGTTCTTTATAAATACAAAAATGTCCATCTATCAGACAGTTTTACAGGTTACATCAAATTTTCATGTGGTAGTAACTGAGGGTCATCCCAAACAGATACTCAGAGAGCTAACAAATTAACATTAGATCTTTGTTTAAAACTTGGATTGCAGGTAAAATTTATATTCTAAAATGTATAAATTTTTTCTTGCAGCCTTCTTTGGTGCACACATGAATGCACTGATCCACATCTTGATGTATTTGTATTATGGTCTGGCCTCCTGTGGACCTAAAATCCAAAAGTACTTGTGGTGGAAGAAGTATCTGACCATTATTCAGATGGTAAGAAATCAAAGGCCGATGGGTCTTATTTTCCTCTAAAATCAATATTCTAAACACATTTTGGAAGGCTATTGTTAGCATCGAAATGAAATAATCACATTGACAAGCCAGTGCATGAACAAAATAGTTTCTCTCTTTTTTGTGTCTCAGGTCCAGTTCCACATCACCATCGGCCACACTGCCCTGTCCCTCTATGTCAACTGCGACTTCCCCCACTGGATGCACTACTCCCTCATCTGCTATGCCATCACCTTCATTGTTCTTTTCGGTAACTTCTACTACCAGACTTACCGTCGCCAGCAGCCTGCGCGACGCGACACCTCCTCTTCCTCCAAGGCAGCAAAGGCTCTCTCCAACGGCAACCTCAACGGCTTCAACAAAGCTGCTAATGGGGCGCCGCTTGTGGGGAGCAAGGAGGAGAAACCCCAGGAGAACTCTGGAAGAAGAAAGAGGAAAGGACGTGCTAAAAGAGATTAGAAGAAGAGGATGAGGAGGACAGGTGAGGTGGGACCCTGACTTTGGCTACTAGGTTGATAAAACATGACAGACTTAAATTGAAGAAGAATTAACTACATGGGTGTGTTCAAGTGAGATTTATTTCTTTGAGCCATGATCTAAGATGCTGTAGATAAAATATGAGAGACTTTGTTGAGAGGAGATTATTTGTTAAGAGTAAGATGTTCATTATGACTAATAATCCACAATGAAGTAGTAGAGTTTGGGATAAATTGTAGTATTCCTTCTCTTTATCGCGATGCCAAGCATCTTTTACTACAAGGGGGGGATATGTAGCAAACAAACACTGAGGTTGAACATGAAACATTAGGAAAAAGCCTGAGCTGTGGAAGACCTGTTTGTTTACTGCTGTAAATAACAAACAATGCTGGATTGAGACAGGAATACAAATTATAACATGAAAGGGTTGGATTTAAAGTGAAAATAACGTATGCTATAATTCCATTTCAGCCAAGCTTGTTTATGGGAGAGACTTTAAGTCTACAGTTTCCTTCTACTGTCTTTTAATTCTATTGTCTTTTCTTTTTTGTTTGTTTTTGCTTTAGAACAAAACCTCTCATTACTGAACTGTCATGCATTATCATGCAGTAAATAAACCCATATCAAGAGGTAATATATACATAAATAAAAAACCTGTGATGGTTTTCTATCAATGTTAAAAGATGCAATATGGATCAGCTTCAGCTCATGTAAAGTTGTCAGTATGTTTTTTGTTTGTATATAATTATAATTCATTTTGTACAGCCATAATTGTTTGTCATGTGATGAAGTGTAACAAATATCCAGAGAAATGACGGATCTGATAGTATTCTGTGTTTTGCCCCTCTGACAGAAGAGCTTTTATGTTGCAGATGTTTCTTGTCTTTTATATCATACCCTCAATGAAATTCTTTGTCTCAGAAGCTGAAGAAAAAGTTTCTGTGTTTTGGTTTCCCTGTTTTTTTTTATTTAGTATTTATCAACAATGCAGAGCCAGCAGCTTATATCCATTGTTTGTCCACAACATTTGTTTGCTTGATAAAATAATCTCTTAATATCTTCAGAGAAATGTCTTTCTGCAGCTTTTATGCCCTGAACTGACTTGAATGTGAATTTATCTGAGTTAAGAGGAAAAATGGAAAAGGCACTCAATGCAAAACGATACATAAAGCTCCTCTGAAGTGACGGTGTATCTTAAACCACTATAAAGAGTATGTATGTTGTGCCTGTAACACACAAATCTTAAATCATCATTCAGCTGTGCATATAAGCAAATCCTGATTTCTGTTTGCAACCAACCAATGTATTTTATTTATATTTATCGATGTTAATAATTATTGTTATGTAAATACAAATTTCCATGTAGCTGAGAGTGCTTCTCTGTGTATTTGTCTTTTTTTGTGATGTAAATATTCCACAGTGACATTTTGTACTTTTGTCCACCACATTTGTGCTGTTTTCTTTTTGCTTTTTTTGTATCATATCTTTAAAATTTCTTCCAAATAAAATATTCTGAATGCCTGTGCATATTCTTATGGTGTCTATATTTTACTGACATACTTATTAAAACATTCTGCTCTTATCTTCAGTGCAGTGACCAGAAGATTGTGAATTTGCAGGTTTTCAACACTAGAGGGCCCAAGAATACCACTATGATCACAAGCTTTAAATAAAGACATTGCTTCACTTTGAAAGATTTATTAAGTTTTTTGATATAAAAATAATATCCTGTCATTTTATTTCTTTATGTGATTAAAAAAATTCCCTCTTGAATCAGTTTGTCTAGAACTAAACTCAATTTCTTCAAGTATTATTGATTAAAAAAGGGGTTCAAATATAGTTTGAAATTATGGGTATTTGTAATTATTGCTTTTTAAAAATACCAAATTTATTTAATACATGGAATAAAAGTAGCATTATTAAATTATAACTTGATAAGATTAAAATAAAGGATAAACCTTTTTCAGTTTGTGCTCAGTCTTCTGTCAATTCTCTCTATTTTGCTGATTTTAGACAAAGGTTTCCATGGTTACTGTACGCTGCCTGGCTGCACCCTCTTCACATTCTGCAAAACCACTCCCTTTACCATCCCCCCATCTCCCCCCTCCAGCTTCTTCTTCGACAAAGCAGAACTCATAAACAGAGTTTATGTGTGTTTTGTTGTAATCCCACAGATGTAGGAGTGTGATGTCCTACACTTAGAGTTGTGCCAAGGAAAACGATCGTGTTTGTGATTTCACAACTCGCAGCTCATTTCCACATCCTCATCAGCAGCATGTTTTTATTACACCCCTGTGTTCCAACAACACACTTCTGCAGGGGGAAAAAAAACTTTATTCCTACTCACTAATTGCGCATTTTACAGAATTATAGGTACATTTTATGTTATGAATCCATTTTTTTCTTACTTGGGATCCCTAATTGAAACAAGTTAATTTTGCAGAACATTGTGATTTTGGCAGTTTTTCTCTTTTAAATTATTTTCCGTGTTAAAGATTTTCAATCCTTCCACAGTTTATTTATTACAGCAGTTGTTTTCAGTGGGTGACATCAGCACCTCCCTAAGAAACCGTTGGTTACGTACTGTAACCCCAGATTCTATGAGTATAGGCTTCGCTCTTTAAGGCTATCGCTAGTGGGTTTATCCCTTTGCACATAGTGCAGCACTGAAAACTTTAGTCCACACCCACCTGCTGTGAGGGCCTCACTCCTGGTCCGTATAAATTATGGTGAGACTGGGGAATTGGCTCCCAAATAGCTTTTTTCTTCAGCCATTTAGGAACCAGTGAGACCCAGAGCTTAAAGGGCTGCGCCTATACTCATAGAATCTGGGGTTACAGTACGTAACCAATGTTCTATTTTGTATAGGCTTCGCCCTTTAAGTCTATTGCTAGTGGGTTAAAGGTGAAGCAGGATGTAATCTATGCCTCACTGGGTCCATTCAGACACAATATGAAGCGCCTGCTTGCACCAAAAAACATTTAGTCACTCAGCCTTCTGTGTGTTTAATTACGCGCTGTGTAATTACACGTTCCATGCAGAGGAGCGCCCCGAAGAGAAAAGTTCTCCGATGGGGAAAAAGGGACGGCTGAAACGCAGTCCTGCTGCTGAGAATGGAAAAAATAGAGGTTACAAATTGTAACTGTGTAACGATGAACAGAGCAGGTCAACAGCTCTTCAATATGAACTGATTAATAACAAAATGAACTGATTAGTAACCAAATGAACTGATTGGTAACAGCAGTCATGAACTGATTAGTAACAATAAAAACAACAGTCATGAACTTGTGACTGATAATAAATGTCCCACACTGTAATTGCATGCAGTCAGACGTGAGCTTAAAACGAAATTCCATGAAACAAGTAAAAATCATTATGTTAGAACACTGAGAACAGAATGAGTCATGGAGAAGTCAGAGACATCACGTAGATAGAAGTGAATAAATGAACAAGGTGATGACCAAGCGGCCGCCGTACAAATGTCTTCCACTGTCATCCCTCCATGCAAAGCTGTAGAGGATGAAATCCCTCTGGTGGAATGAGCTCTGAGATTCTCTGGAGGGTCCAGTCCTGATGCTCTGGAAGCTTCAGATATAGCCTCACACAGCCGGTGTGAGAGGCGCTGAGTGGATAAAGGGCGACCTGCAGAGATGTCCCTGTAATGCACAAACAGACGCTGATAATAACGCAGTGGGGCCGTGCGTGCTATATTACATGCAAGCATGCGCACGGGACAGAGGAGGTGAGATGATGCTTCCTCCTCTGAATTGTGAGGAGGAGGATAAAACCCATCCAAGGTTATCGTTCTCGATTTAAATGAGCTTGAGATGTTTTTTAATAAAAAATAATAAATCGCTCACTCTCTTTGCTGATGTCAAAGCCAGCAGCAGGGTTGTTTTAAGTGACAGGAATTTAAGTGAAACCTGATCTAAAGGCTCAAAAGGAGCTTTGATCAGAGCGCGCAGAACCATCGTTAGGTCCCACTGTGGAGTTAGTGGGCGTGACACTGGTCTGTGTCTCCATACACCTTTCAGGAAACGCTTCATCAGCGGGTGATTAAAAACTGTTCTGTCACCGAAGCCCTTGTGACAGGAAGAAATAGCTGCAGCATAAGTCTTAATTGAGCTGAACGCTAGATTTCTGTCCATCAGCTGCTGCAGAAAGGACAGCATGCCACCTAGAGGAAATGAGATGGCCTCTACACCTTTCTCTGTGCACCAGCACTGAAAAGCTGTCCACTTTGATATAAGCGCATAAAGGAGCATTTTGGCCACGGGCTTTGAGCGAAGGCATCCACTCCTAATGGTGGGTCATCTCGTGAGCTCAGTGAGAACCATAATTGACATTGGGCGTTCTCCCGTGTGGCAGACATATCCACTGATGCTCAGCCGAACTTGCTCCAATTCCAAGAGATCAGCTCCGGATGAAGGCTCCAGTCTCTGTGGCGGGGAACGCCCCTCGACATGATATCCGCTCCCCTGTTCAGGACGCTGGGAATGTACACTGCTCTGATGGAGAGCAGGTTTTTGTGTGCCCAACACAACAGCTGTTTTGCGATGCGTAACAGTTGGCTGAGCGTACGCCTCCCTGACGGTTTATGTAAGTTGCTGTCAATTTGTTGTCTGTGTGGATCAGAACATGCTGATCCTACAGCAGGGGTGCAAAATGCTGCATCACATTTCAGACAGTGAAAACATTCTAGCACATTTATGTGAAGCGACATGTGGTCCAGCCGCTTTGCTCCCACTGCCTGGGTCAGACACATTACTCCCAGCTTGACAGGAACGCATCTGTGAAAACTGAGATGAGTGGTGTAGGCCTGCTGATGGGAACTCCCTCTGACAAAATGAGGGGGTTTCCCCAGTGATTCAGATTGGTTCTCACGAAGGGGGGACAAAGATAATCCACCTCTTCTGGCGCACAGGATCTATGTACAGGCAGGCGAACCATCTCTGTAGGCATCTGATGTGAAGTAGGCCCAGTGGAACCACGATGTGGGCCGCTGACATCGTCCCAGGAGTCGCATGACAGGCAGGCTGTCACCATGCTGCAGAATTTGACACGGCGGAGCTGAACTGACAGAGCTTCGGCTCTCAGCTGTGATAAATGGGCTCTCATTGTGGTTGAGTTTAGCTCCACTTGGAGATAAACAATCATCTGGGACGGACAAACTGAACTTTTTCACAGTTTATAGAAAACCCCAGGTTTAGCAGGTGTAACACTAGCGTTTTGGTCTGTGCAACTATTTCCTATCTGGACTGAACTAAAAAGAGCAGATCGTCCAGATAAAAAAAAATCTCATTCCTGCCATGTGTAACGACTGCAGAGCCGTCTCCATGCATTTCAAGAACGTGCATGGGGTGTTTCAAAATGATGGAAAATGTGAAAATATGCGCGCTTCAGATCTATGGAGGTGAAAACCAGTTGTTCTGGTGAAGTTCTCCAGCAGCTGTTTGTCAGCTTGTGGAATTGTCTCCCCATGATCGAATTGCTGAACATGAACAGGTCGAGAATGGGTCTCATCCCTCCATTTTTTTTTTCAGAACCAGGAAGTAGTGGGAGGAAAAAAACTCGTATTTTCCTCTTCGTTGGGAACTCTGGAAATCATGTTTTTCATCAGAAATTCCAGAACTTCTGACTGGAGAGACGAGCTCTGTTCTGGAGAAGACAGAACCATCTCTATAATCCCTCTGGACGGTGGGGGTTGAGCTGCGAACTGCAGCGTGTAACCCCTGCTGATCAGACGGTCTGTCCATCTGTCTAGGGAACACACTTACTGCCACTCTGAGTAATGCTTGGAGAGCGGGCACGCATTTTGTGTGTTGTCATGTTTCTCATGAACGTCAAGCAGACTAAAAACCCTTACTGCCATCACCTGCTCTAGAGATTCTCCAGGGGGAACCCAAGGGGGGCTCTGACAGAAAAAAGGTTGTATGTGTGCCTCTGTGCTGGGCCCATGCTACGGTCTCACTTTAGAGCTGAGGTGAGCTGGCGTG